TTTGCAGCAGAGGCTGCTCGCTGTTTGCACCTGGGTGAAACTCCAGGCTGGTTGCAGGGGGGAGCATTTTGTCTTGGGTTTTAACCTTTCGGGTATAGGATGCTGTTCAAACCTACTTGGGATACAGGGACCAACTATACACTCTTCCACGGGGCACAAATGAAATCAGCCGTGGGAAAAAGCCCATTAGCGCCTCCTTCTTCCAGGTTACATTTGCCTGAGGAAAAGTGGCAAAGTGACTTGGCACAGGCGATTGTGACGGGTCATAGTCACAAGTGCTGCCTTCCCAACAAACCCACTGCCATCGAGAGCAGAGGAGAACTGCATTTGGGTTTCCTGGGTTGTAAATCTCCAATGGAACAGTCCTTCCGCCTCATCGTTCTCCCTCGGAGTGGCTGGTGGGTTCAAACTGCCAACCTTGCCGTTAACAGCCAATCATTTAACCCGCTACACCACTTCACAGAGGAACCCCAAAGAACTACCAACTGGACCCCGTAAGGGAAGCACACTGTTCCTGAGCCTGCTCCCCTCTGTCTCCAAGTGCTTGGTTCCTTGAAGCTGGGTCTTCGGAGGGGAAGAGCCTCTCTGTCCAAGGGACCATGCACACAGGCAGGGTGGGGATTACCAGGACACCAGCTGACACCACCTGTCTCACTGTTTCAGCTCCGCCACCCTGCCCATCACCTTCAAGTGCCTGGAGGAGAACATCGGCGTGGACAAGCGCGTCACCAGATTTGTGCTCCCCGTGGGGGCCACCATTAACATGGACGGCACTGCCCTCTATGAGGCCTTGGCTGCCATTTTCATCGCTCAGGTCAACAACTTTGAGCTGAACTTTGGACAGATTATCACCATCAGGTAGGAGGAAAGAGTCCTACACCGTATTGTTCTTGGGGATGACTTTAAAAGACAAGATGGTGGTCGGAGATTGGTGAAGTACATTTTCCCCAGCAGGAAGCATTCCCTCTGATGGCAGTAAGCTGTGTGTGTGTGTGTGTGTGTGTGTGTGTGTGTGTGTGTGCGTGTACACATGGCTGGGAGGTGATTAGAAATGCTCCTTGTCATTATGACCAGCAGAACCCAGAGAAATCCATTTTCCAAAGGCTTATCCAAGATGGATATGAACTTGGGCACAAAGGCTGAGCAGACTGTGGTCTCCACAGGAGCCCCCGCTTGGAAGGCTCCCTTGAAATCCTAGCGGAGCCGAAAATGGACATTTATCTTCCTATGATTTAAACGCCTCCACCTTTCACCTCTGCTATGAAAGAAGCCCATTCACAGTCCCTGAATGAACCTCACATATAGCTCTGCTAGCCGTACCCGCGCCTACACACTCGAGCTTGAGTTATTGCGTTGCTGAAAACAGGTACTCCTATAATTTCCTGGCCTGTGTCTTAAAGGGGCTTTTAAAAAGAAGCATTATATTTTCCCACTAGAATCAAGTCCTTCGGTGTTCCCAGCAGACCTTCCTCCTTCAGCGCAGTCGGCTTCTCTGGTTTGGGTAGCATGAGTTTGGTCCGAGTTCATTGAACGTGTCAAGTAAAGGGAGTTGAGGGGCGGGGGAGGGAAGACATTCCCTAGGAAAGCAGGACTATTTCAATATGTTCGAGTCATGTTCTATCTCTCAGATGCTCCTTCTCAGCCCAGTTGTCAAGGGAAAAGTCGCAAGTGACAGTAGCCGCGAATAATAATGGCCTCAATCAGAAGACTTAGCCTGCTAATGGCAGTAAACTCACCAAAAACCGAACTCACTGCCATTGAGTCAATGCCAACTCACAGTGACCCTGTAGGACAGGGTAGAACTGCCCCTGTGAGTGTCCCTGTAACTTGTTTTGGGAGTAGAATGGCCCATCTTTCTTCCTCAGGGGGCAGGGGTTTTGAACTGCTGAACTAGCAGTTAGCAGCCTAATGCATAACTACTGAGCCACCAGGGCTCCTCGGTGGTAGGACAGATGACCACATTTCTCATTTTAATGGCTCTGAATTCAGTCTCTGGCTGCCTGCTATTTATGGCAGGTGGAATTCTCGTTCCATTTGTGCTCACACATAATATCTCCCCTCAGAGTACTTAAGTATGCATGGTGATTGGAATAATGTTAAGTTGTATGGTAAGTGGTATGTGGATGTGGAAACAAAATTAATTAAAGTGATCCTCCAAGAAGCAGGCCGGCTGCATATTGAAAACACTGCAAAGGCATTGATTGGCTCTGCAGTTAAAGTGGAACTCAGGCTACAAGAGGATTCTCTGGGCACTCGCTGGGAAGCAGGAGGCAGGGAGAAGGGGTGATACCTGATAGGCCCCCAAAATGACCTGGGTGTAATGAATGAAAGAAGAGTTATCCAGGAAAAAATAAATAAAAGAAATATATGGATCTGCCTTTTGACACTGATTTAAAGCAAAGAGAGCGGGCAGTAACGTGTCCTGAAAACATTGTGAGTGAAAGGAGCGCTTCATTCCACAATAATCAGGGGACCTTTACATTTAAACAGAAGCCCACAGTTTTAAGAAACTCCAATATTGGTGGCTTGGTGGTAGAGTCCTTGCCTTCCATGCAAGAGGCCCACATTCCATCCCTGCCCCGCCGCTTGCACAGTCCCCATCCGTCACTGGTGTTGTGGGGGGTGCCGCATAGGCTTCAGCAGAGCTCCCAAACTAAGATAGACTAGGAAGAAAGGCCTGGCTTCCTACTTGCCAATGAACACTCTATCACAACCATCTGAACAACAAGCAGTCACGGGGACGGTGCTGGGCAGGGCAGCTCACAGCAACAGTGTCCGGGGCAGAAAGGTTTGCAGATCAAGCCTCGCTTTTCCGATCATTGGGTAACGTTTGTATCATGAATAGCTTGTTGGAAAGTACTCTTCCAGTTGTGCTCTGTCTTTATCTCCATAGGTACGCCCCTCTGGGTATCCTCTTCCTGATTGCAGGGAAAATTGTGGAGATGGAAGACATGGGAGTGATCGGGGGGCAGCTTGCCATGTACACGGTGACGGTCATCATCGGCTTACTCATTCATGCAGTCGTGGTCCTGCCCCTTCTCTACTTCTTGGTCACCCGCAAAAACCCCTGGGTTTTTATCGGAGGCTTGCTGCAGGCGCTCATCACCGCTCTGGGAACCTCCTCAAGGTAGGGTTGGTTATAGGTGCAGCTTATTGCTCCCGTTCACTTTATCTGGAATTTCACTTTGACTCCCAGCCTGGTGGGTTGGAGGTACCAGAATGCAAACCAGTTGCAGATCACCAAGCCTTTCTTCCCAGGAGTCTCTGATGGGATCAATCCACCCGCCTTTCCGTTTGCAGCAGAGGCTGCTCGCTGTTTGCACCTGGGTGAAACTCCAGGCTGGTTGCAGGGGGGAGCATTTTGTCTTGGGTTTTAACCTTTCGGGTATAGGATGCTGTTCAAACCTACTTGGGATACAGGGACCAACTATACACTCTTCCACGGGGCACAAATGAAATCAGCCGTGGGAAAAAGCCCATTAGCGCCTCCTTCTTCCAGGTTACATTTGCCTGAGGAAAAGTGGCAAAGTGACTTGGCACAGGCGATTGTGACGGGTCATAGTCACAAGTGCTGCCTTCCCAACAAACCCACTGCCATCGAGAGCAGAGGAGAACTGCATTTGGGTTTCCTGGGTTGTAAATCTCCAATGGAACAGTCCTTCCGCCTCATCGTTCTCCCTCGGAGTGGCTGGTGGGTTCAAACTGCCAACCTTGCCGTTAACAGCCAATCATTTAACCCGCTACACCACTTCACAGAGGAACCCCAAAGAACTACCAACTGGACCCCGTAAGGGAAGCACACTGTTCCTGAGCCTGCTCCCCTCTGTCTCCAAGTGCTTGGTTCCTTGAAGCTGGGTCTTCGGAGGGGAAGAGCCTCTCTGTCCAAGGGACCATGCACACAGGCAGGGTGGGGATTACCAGGACACCAGCTGACACCACCTGTCTCACTGTTTCAGCTCCGCCACCCTGCCCATCACCTTCAAGTGCCTGGAGGAGAACATCGGCGTGGACAAGCGCGTCACCAGATTTGTGCTCCCCGTGGGGGCCACCATTAACATGGACGGCACTGCCCTCTATGAGGCCTTGGCTGCCATTTTCATCGCTCAGGTCAACAACTTTGAGCTGAACTTTGGACAGATTATCACCATCAGGTAGGAGGAAAGAGTCCTGCACCGTATTGTTCTTGGGGATGACTTTAAAAGACAAGATGGTGGTCGGAGATTGGTGAAGAAACTGGTGGAAAGGGGATCACACACAAACAGGAGGTTGGAGTTTGAGGGAAGAGTTTTGTTTTCTGGGAGTTGGGATATTTTTGGTTCTTTTTTCTTCAATGACACGTGTGCACACTCATTAGCGACAAAATTCTAATAATATAGAAGGAAACATAAGAAGCAACAGTTGAAACTATCCCACCCCCTTCCTTCCCGTCCTTGCCAATTAGGTTTGCTCTGTGAAGATTCTTCTTTATGCAGGCATACCCTGGCTTTTACTTTTAAATTTATTACTTTTAAATGTATGGAGTCATACAATTTTCCATTTGATTGATTTACCTATCATCATACCATCTACAAATCTACCTGACTTGTTCTTTTTTAGAAGTGGCAACAAAAAGAGATAGAGAGGGAGTATATAGATAGTTCTCTTTTAAAGCAACTGGGTCCACGTGGCCCCATATAAGATTACACATTTTTTAATATTTAAATACCATTCGCTTTTATTGCAAGTATTAGAAAATGAAAGTACACTTGAACAACTGGCCTCCCCTGTTCTCTTTGGGTTGCGCTTTTTAGATGACCAAACTTTAACAAGATTTGGCTGAGAGTTTGATTCCTGTGGAGAGATTTTTTATTGCTGTATTTGAGGTGTCTTCCCTCCACAGCACACACTAACAAGGGAAAAGTCATTCTCCCACCCAGGTCTTTCCCCATCTGTAGTTTCCTTCCCCAGAGCAGCCAGGGGTTCATGCCAGTTTCTTCCCCACCCTTCCAGCACTCGCCCCTGCACAACCATGTGCATCTAAGAATAGAATCTCCCTTTTTTGCTTGTAGACAGCAACTATGCTCAAATATGATCCAAAACAAGTATAAGTATATAAGTAAGTGTGCTTATTGTGAGGACTTTATTCCTCACAGTTAAGCCAGACCTTGATAACCCTTTGAGACAGCTTATTTTAGAAATCAAGTCAAACCCTTTATTATGTAGTTCCACATTTTATTATGAAAATTGTCCTATTTGTATATTTATATCTGTATATTTTTTAAGTTGAGATTTTTACAACAGGATGCAGGTTGTTCAGTCACTTCCACTGAAGTCTCACTGATATTGCTGTGTGTTGGGACCCTAGAGGATAATGTATAACTTCCCCACAGGGTTTTGTGAGCCCTGGTTGGTGTAATGGGTTATGCACTGATCTGCTAACCAAAATGTCAGTGCTACAAATCCACCAGACACTCCACAGGAGAAAGATGAGTCTGTCTACCCCTGTACAGATTTAAAGGCTCAAAAACCCACAGGGGCAGTTCTACCCTGCCCTATTGAATCCTTGGGTCGATATGAGTCAGATCAACTTGATGAGCTTGGTTTGTGTGTGTGATCCTTATGGAAGAAGATCCCCAGGTGGATGGGGAGTTTGAACCACTGATTTCTCCTGTTAGTAACCGAATGCTTCACCATGACACATCAAGGTTCCTGACATGGTCAGAATTTAGTCTAAGCTGCAAGGGATGCTGGGAAATGTAGTCTGTTCTGGATGGCCATTCGACAAGTTGATGGAACAAAAACATCTCAGGATTTTCCCACAAGCTTTTTTGAAGGCCCCTCATGCAACAGCTAGAAATTCTAGGACTCGATAAGATAAGAACCTTCAAAGGAGTCTCAGCCACAGACGGATGGCTTTGTCCCAAAATTGACATATCCGTGTGGTGCTTTACTCTTTATGAAATGGTTTTATGTTCTCCTCACACTTTATCAATTAAATGTTTCACAGACCAAGTCCCAGATTCAACTAAATGTTAAAGTTTAGTACCTTGCAAACCAGGTCAACACTACCTCCATAAATCTGTGTGTGTATGCAAAACATTGTTCACAAATCATTATACTTTTGAAATCATACATTTTATTTTTTCCCTCTGACCACATTGATCATACAAACCCAATAGCTTTCCAAACTTCCACTTGGATAGGTGACTTATGAGAAAGAAATGTAGCATTCAAGACCTTGCCCTATACTTTATACAGGAAAAATTACAATCACCAGTTTCATCATGTAAAAAAATGACTAAAATAATAAAAACAACTTAATAGGGGTTGTTGTGAGGGTCGAATAAGCAGAGCCTGGCTTAGCATATCAGACAACACGTAGTAATAAAATTTAAAAACATCACTGCCATCGAGTCGATTCCAACACCTAGGGAGGATAGGGTAGAACTGCCTCTGGGTTTCCAAGTCTTTACTGCGGAGCTTCTGGAGGTTTCGAACCAGTGACGTTATGGTTAGCAGCCCAACCTGTAACCCACGGCACCATCAGGGTCCTGACACTAGCAAGTGCTTGGTAAGTATCCGCGGAGTGTGAGCCTGAGCTCAGTCATGTTTTTAAATTTTCATTTGCGTTTTTTCCAAAGCACCTCCGCTAGGAGTTAACACGCCAGGACCGTCCTTGGCGCCGCCGGGAGCCTGTGTGCCGGGAAGTCTCTCTGTTTGGGGAGGTTTTGCGAAAATGCTTCTGACGTCATCCTTCCTTCAACAGCATCACCGCCACCGCTGCCAGCATTGGGGCTGCAGGGATCCCTCAGGCCGGCCTGGTCACCATGGTCATCGTGCTGACCTCGGTGGGGCTGCCCACGGACGACATCACGCTCATCATCGCCGTGGACTGGTTCCTGTGAGTCCCACGCGCTGCGCCCGCCCGGCACGCTGGCCCCGGGGCCGCAGTCACTCTGGGCACCAGGCGGGCCAGCTGTGCCTGCCAAACAGAAGAGGGCCAGCTTGCCCGGAATGGAATTGTCCTCATTTCCTGCTCCCTGGCCCTAACGGGGCTCCCACTCCCCATGAGCACCCACCCCCACCCCGGGCACATCTGGCTGTGACACCTCTCCCTCCTGTCTGCCAAGCCGACATAAATCAGCTGGGCCGGTTCTGGGTTGCATCCTACGGCCGGATAGTGGCAGGGACAGATGGCAGGAGGGCCTCCCATGAGGCTGCGGCTGCGGCCGCTCCCTGCGGTTCTCCCCCCATCCCAGAGGCGCACGGCTGCAGGATGCGCCCAGGCAGACAGGCAGTGGAAGAAGCGGACCGCCCTTTGCTGTAGGGAAGGTTCAGAGCATTGGGCCCTGAGCACCTTGGCACCCTGCAGTCTAGGGGCCGCCCCTCTCTGCCCTCTCCCCCAACCCGAGGCTCTGACGTGACTAGAGCGAAAGACCTTGGGAGGATCCATGGTGGCGCTGCAGGCTAAGCATTGGGCGGCTAACCAAAATATCAGCGATTCAAACACCCCCCATCACTCCAAAAGAGAAAGAAGAAGGTAGATCGCTTCTATCATGATTCACAATCTCAATAACCTGAAGGCACAGTTCTCATCTGCCCAGCCTGGCACTGTGCTCCCGGAGCTGTGGGTGGGGCACCCATGCGGATGGGTGGATGTTTCCATCCATCCTGAGCCTGTGTGACACTGGACAGGTGTCCCAACTACCCCGGTTTCCTCCTCTCTCAAATGGGGGTGGCAAGGTCTTGGACCTCCCAGGAGTGCTCTCAGGAAGAAATGCAAACACCCACACTCTCTCACCCACAGTCCACACCCGAGTAACTGAGCACACTCATAGCATTGTGCTAGGCACTGTTTTTGGTCTCACAACCCTGTCCACTCAAAAATATTGGAAGCATCCAAAAAGTTGTTATTTCAGTGAGTTGGTTAATTTTAAATTCTTTTAAAAGCTACCATCATAAATAGGTTGCATGTTAACATGAATAAAATTTTTCAAAAAAATAAATAACATTGAGCCAAAAAATTGGTGGAAGGAATGGCATCATTATAAATGTTTGTCAATCCCTGTGTCCAGCTTCCTGCAAGATAGCTGGAGTCTCCCAGCGGCTTCTGCATTCAACCCTTTAAGATATACATTCAGTCTTTTCAAAATTCACTACATAGTCACTAGTGAATGAGATAAGGGTAAATAGCATCTTCCTAGTATTATGGAAATAATTGTGACCTCAGGGACCTTTAGAGGTTTCTTGATCATACTTTCAGAATCATCTGTTTAGTAGAAAGTAAATTATAGGAAAGAGAATCCAAGAGAAATGTTAAATAAACAGAAGTGTGCTTCCATACTCTTAATGCTCTCTAAAACCAAATGCACTCCCATTGAGTAGATGCCAACTCATAGCCACCTTATGGAACAGGGTAGAACTGCCCCTGTGAGTTTCTGAAACTGTGCCACTTTACAGAGTCCAAAGTCCCATCTTTCCCAGAGGAACAGCTGGTGGTTTTGAACTGCTGACCTTGTAGTTAACAGCACAATGGATAACCACTATGTCACCAGGACTCCTTTGGTTTACAGCTGTTGTTGTTAGGTGCCATCGAGTCAGCTCCAACCCATAGGGACCCTATGCACAACAGAATGAGACACTGCACAGTCCTGGGCCATCCTCACATTGTTCCCATGCCTGAGCCCATTGATGCAGCCACTGTGCCGATCCATCTCCATGAGGACCTTCCTCTTTTTCACTGCTCCTCCACTTTACCAAACATGATGTCCTTCTCCAGAGACTGGTCTCTCCACACAAAGTATCCAAATTAGGTAAGACAAAGTCTTGCCATCCTTGCCTCTAAGGATGCTTACTGCTTCCAACACAGATCCACTTTTCTTTCAGGAGCTAGTTAACAGCTAGTAACCAAAAAGTAATCATAAATGGAAGGAGCCCTGGAGATGCAGTGGGTTTCATGTTGGATGCTGTTATAAAGGGCTAGTGCCCCTGGTGTCTTAGTGGTTACGCACTGGACAGCTGTCAGCAGTTCAAAGCCACTAGTCCAGGGGTCCTCAGACTTTTTAAACAGGACCAGTTCACTGTCCCTCAGACCCGTTGGAGGGCCGCACTATAGTTTAAAAAAAAACTATGAACAAATTCCTATGCACACTGCACATATCTTATTTTGAAGTAAAAAAAACGAATGGGGCAAAAACACTCGGAAGGCCGGATAAATGCCCTCGGCCGTAGTTTGAGGACGCCTGCACTAGTCACTTCTCAGGAGAAAGGCAAAGCTTTCTCTTCCCTTGAAGAGTTACAGTATCAGAAATCCACAGAGGCAGCTCTCTCCTGTTCCTTATAAGCTCACTATGAGTCAGAATCTACTCGATGGCTGTGAGAGTACCATGAAGCCCCCCCCACCCCCACCCTCATGTTACAAAGTTAATCTCTACTCCATGGGAGCTCTGGTGGCAGCGTGGTTCCTCGTTGGGCTGTGAAACTACAGTTCTACACAGTCCTCTAGGGTTACTGTAAGTCAGGATCAACTGGATGGCCCTGACCTGGATGGCCTATCAGGTGATAGGGTTGACTTGGCTGTCATCTTGAGGGAAGCTGACCACGGGCCTTTCTTCTGCAGAGTGACTAGGTAGCTTCACACTGTCCGCTTTCAGGTTAGCAGCAGCTCATCAATCAGGGTCACCAGGAGTCAGAATCCAAGGATTGACAACCAGTTTTTGCTTTCATTTTTATTAGTAAGGGTGCCCCCGAGGGATGTAAATTGTTCACGCCCTCGACTACTCACCAGAAGGTTGGTGGTTTGAGTCCACCCAGAGGCACCTGGAAAGAAAGGCCTGACGGTGTGCTTCAGGTAAAGCAGCCCTTGGAAACTCCACAGAGCTCAGTTCTACTCTGGCACACAGGTGAGGGCTCCGCACAAAGTTTATGGGGAAATGCCATCATCTTTGAGTTCCTTTTTTTTTTCATGAACGTTTTGAAGCCTCTTCTTTGGGTCCCCATGGCAACTGGTTTTATCCTCAAGGTATGTGTTCCTGTGCGACCCGCACAGCTGGTGAGGCGTATGAGATGTTTCCAAGTGCTCAGCCGACCAATTCATAGCATCTGCTGGAGTCACCTCAGGTCCACCCGAGCCTTATGTTTCCTTCTGCCCTGTTCCTCCCCACAGAGACCGCCTCCGGACCACCACCAACGTGCTGGGCGACTCCCTTGGAGCTGGGATTGTGGAGCACCTGTCTCGACATGAACTGAAGAACCGGGATGTGGAAATGGGTAACTCGGTGATTGAGGAGAATGCAATGAAGAAACCCTATCAGCTGATTGCCCAGGAGCACGAGCATGAGAAACCGCTGGACAGTGAGACCAAGATGTAGACTAACAGGAAGAAAGGCTTTCTTGAGCACGAGGGATTCGCAACCGATATGATGCTTCCAGCCCATGACAACCCCTTTTCTCCAGTAAGCCCCTGAGCTCGGTTTCCCCCAGCCCCTTACTCGTGGCAGTATTGGAAGTATGACTCCAAAAAGAAGGGAGAATTGTGCAGTGGCCAAAGGGTCTGGCTTTTATCCCTCACTTCCAAACCATTTCGGTTCTTACCTCTAAGATACGTGAGGTTAAAAACATTCATGATCAGCTATTACACCCTGACATGGCACTGTAAATGTGAACTTGGGTTTGTTTCAAAGTTATAGAGTCAAACAAAAAGTGAGCCAAAGGCATTAAATCAAATTTGAACATTTAAAAGCCCTTCAGAACACAATGAGTTTGAATCTCAAACATGAGCATACTCTCAAATTAGTGATCAGTTGCACGGTAGAGTTTGGGGGTTCCCCCCCTTTTTTTAATCTGACTTGGGTCCTTATTGTCTGAGTCACAGGAATGGACATGTAGACCTAGCACAGTGTGAGAAGAGGCATACAGTGACGTTGCCATGTGGCCTTGAACAAGCCCCGGTTTTTCTCTAGGACGCAGTGTCTTTCAAGTGTAAAATGAGTGAGTTCCCTTGACGGTTTCTTTTAGCACCAACATCCGGACACCATCGAAGGCCTGCCCTCCATTTTCCCTTGGGACAGCCTGGACCAAGTATCCTTCCTCCAGACATAGGGAAAGGACGTTTAGTTGAGAGTGAACATGGTGGGGAACCTGTGCAGCTCACCAGGTCCCTGTCCAAAATACCACTTATGTCAGCCCCCAGGGAGGAGGCCGTTCATTCCAGGAGTGGAGGGACTGCCCAATTCTTCCCACCATACGCACGCCCTTCTTTTCAACTTTCCCCAAAAAGAAGGGCCTGCTCTGGGGAGGCAGTGTCACATACACCTGACTGGAGACTTTTAGAAAATAAAACGTTAAGATTAGCAGCTAGCAGGATGTGCGTGGTCTTAATATGGATCACTAAAGAGCTAGTGGGGAAGGAAAGGAGACTAGGTGAGGTTAAAAAGAGGTGGGGGGGTGTTCCTTAGAATATCTGTGTTTTAACCAAGAACCCTCTTCTCTCCAGTTTAAACTCATTCCCTCTGGCAGTGTGCATATCGAAACATGAGGTCACGCCCTAGATATGTGAAGGAAATTGAATGAGCTCTCTCATGGGGGTCCGTGAACTGGATGGGTGGTCTCTTCTTTGAAAAAAAAATTTTTTTTTTCTTTAGAAACAAGGTATTTCTTTGTGTTGGAATTCCATGTACCAAATGATTCCTAAGCCCCTGCGGGAGTGGGCTTGTGGTAATTGTGTTTTGTCTGTTCCCTGAGTGAGGTGGTAGACGAGGAATTGGTATGAAGTAGGCACTGTCAAGGAATTTCATTGCAAGTGAAAGCAAGCGGCTTGGGGGGAGGGCATTCATTTCTAGCCAGCAGCTCCCAGGTTTAGAGGAGATTAATTTTTACCCCCTAAGGAATAGCCTCGCCCACGGGGTCAAGTGGAAGCTGTTGGACACCACCAGCTGTGTTTAAGTTTGTGACCAAGAAACAATGACACATGGGCTTAATTATGCTAACAGACTGGAAACCTAGGCATACATTCTCTGATAGACAACTAGAGATCGTTTTATATAGCTCCCAAGCCTTCTGCGCGTCTAAGAGCTAACATTAGAGAGTGGTGGGAGTCACCATTTACTGTTGAGGCTCTTTGCTCTGGGCGCTACAAAAGTCCATGCACGTGCCTGGCATTTTATGACGCCAATCGAGCAAAATTAATCGTGGCGAATTAACTCGTTTACACAGTGTGATCTTTTTTATACTAACGTGCCAGGTCCTCTAGGTGTGATTCTCTCAGCCGCCCACCACAGGCTCTGCACAGTCGCGCATCCCGGGTGTGGACTGAGAAACATTACCGTGTAGATGTATTTTCAATAAAGAAAAGAAATAGTTTTACATTAGCTTTGTGTCGTGGCGTTGTTCTTCATCTCTCCCAAGGAACATAAATTCTTCTCTCATGGAGCTCAAGGCACTGCAGAGAGATGCATCACAGCAAGACAGAGGGATACCCCAGGGCAGGGCGGAGAGATAACTTCCTGTCCAGGGGATGGAGGAGGTAAAATGATCCTGTAGTCATGGGAGGAGTCGGCCACAGGAACGGGAGCAAAGGCAAGCCCTCTGGGCCCAGTTCCTAGAGCTGGAGCTGGAACTAGGAGTCGGAGAAAGTGCTTTGCCACAACAATCTGGGCTTATGTGCCGCCGCAGGTTCAGATTTCTCAGATAAATTGAATCATGCTGATCATTTTCCATGTTGTGATTCAAAAAGTGGAATGCCACCGATGGTTCTGCCAAAAATGTAATTTCCTGTCTGGCCCTTAAATGAGGCAGATTCAGCACTGTGATTACGATTGCCATTTGTGAAAATAGCTGCGTTAAGATCTCAAGGAATAATCCCGCAGCCGCCACGCCGCTAGGAAACTGCTCCGTTCAGTAAGATGGACTCTTTCCCACAGTGCTTTTTAATGAAGAATTGGCAGAGGCAGCATTATCGCGCCCACCCCTCAGAGAGGAACTGAGTCTGGGAAGCCTTTGAACCTCTCCCTGCAGGTAGCAGCCACCTAGAGAAGTTCCTACAATGCCCCAGCCACCCCTGGGAAGATGTGGGTCGGTTTATAGAGCCCTGCAAAGGATGGGCAAAGTTGTGTGCATTTGTCTCCTCCTTAGAATGAAATCTTTCATATCCAGCAGATTCTCTGAAGTATCCTGTCCTGTGATTTAAAGGGGGGAAATTAAATTACAAATACCTCTACTTTGGAAATGCATCCAAACTTTAGAATCCGTATGTACCCTTTGTGGCCACTTACAGAAAGGAGTTGCCCGTCCTCTGAGGGACCACATCAGTGCTGGTCAAGCAGAGGGGATTCTTTTCTGGACAGCTGTGGGGCCTTGAGAGACTTTGGCACTGCGAAGTACCCGAAAGATCAATGCCTTGCTAGGATTCCAATCCACTGCTCCCCCGGTCACCAGTTGCACTTCCGTTTTGCAGCCTAAACTGGATTTTGCCCCTGTCCTGGAGACACCGGCCTCTAACACCTTGTGGATTCCAGTTCAGGATATATTCCAAATAAACTGGAATGCAGTGGGGCAGTGGAGAGCTGGCCCGAGGCTGTACATCTTTATGAGGGCAGAAAGCTCCTCGTTCTCCCGCTGAGCCGCTGGTGAGCTTGGACTGCTGAGTTGGACGAGGTCAGCAGCCCAGCATGTTGCCCACTACTCAATGGGGGCTTATGGTGGGAGATCTGTGGAGACACCATTAGGGTTCGGGGACAGGACAGCTCTGTCAGGCTGTGACGAGTTGGAAGGGGACTAGAGCCTAAACCCTTACCATCGTCGCCCATCTGTTCACAAATGGGACTATAAAAGATTCCAAATGAACATTTTAAATAACCCTGAGAAGTAAATACAGCCCTATGTAATGCCCTTCGCTGAGAAGTGGGCATCTGAGTCCTCCACTTGCCATCCTCATCCCTTCGCCACCTCCGCCCCCACCCCAAGGAGGCTCCCCTGGCCCAGACTGGGGGAAAAAAAATCCCCTTGCCCAGTAAAATCCGCCGTTTTCTCTAAGCCTTTATTCATAAACACCACATTGAAAACAGAAAGTTGAGTGTTGTTAATTGCACGGGTCAGGAAGAAGGTGGGAGGTAGGGCTGGTTTCCTGCTGGAG